ATCATCTATTCTCATACTCCATGGGAATGCAACAAACCAACTAATTGGCTGGCAAGAATTGGGCTCCATTATGAGCAGATTCTTATCAACAAACATGTGACTCCACCTTTAGCTTTCCTTTTGAAGGGTTATGTTATGGTCCTTCCTTTCATTAGGTTGTTATCTTGTTAGCAGGGTGTTTTGGTGAGGGTTTTCCCTTAGTTCTGTATCCCTCCCTTTTGGTTTTTAATGAATTTGGAGCGGTTTTAGCTCCTTTACAACATAAATATATATAGAAGTTCTCTTTAAATATATATATATAGTTTTTAAATAAAAATTTGACACAAACAGTCACTTAAACAAATAAATAACACTACAAATTTTCAAGTCTAATTCTAATTAGTTTGACTAAAATTTTACTGAAGTCAAATCAACTATTTTTTTCAGGTAACGACGCCAAAAACTTGGCATGCCCCGCAATTACGCAATTCTCTAGTTTTCTGGAAAAAAACTTGACTCAGTTTAATTAAGCGGCTAGTGTGCAAAATGGATATATTAAAGTTTAGAAATTGATTTATAATTTACACACTATAGGTTTCACACTAGTGCACGTATTGTTCAAGTAATATAGAGCTTTCTTTCAAAAATCCTGGGTATCGATCTCACGGGGAAATGTGTTAATTTGTAACGACTTTAGTAAAAGTTATAGTCTACAATAACTCGTCTTAGCCTGAAATTTCTGAAAAGTTTGATTTTCCTAAATTCACTACTTTACTCTAAAATTACTTACTATAAAATTAAATTTAACTAAATTAAATAAAAACCTAATATACAGAGGCTGGTTAAATTTTGGAAAGTTCTTATATAATCAAAATCTCTTTCCTCTTGAAATGAATATAGTGGCATAAGTAGTAGAAGAATTGATAGAATTATGTACAAATTTTTGTGCCAACAAGAAATATAAGTCTACCTACCTTCTTCCGAGTGTATAGATACGTTTAGTATTCTATTAAGTTTACACAACTAGCCGAGATGCGGAGGTGGTAAGCCTTACAACTAACGGTAGGGAGCCAATTCACTTGCATCAATTTTCACCTAGAAGCTTCTAATAGAAACATATTATGAAGTATATTTCCTTTAAAAGTTGCATCGTCGCCTGAACTACTGCCTGAACTACTTCACCATAATGTGAGTGCACTCAAGTTATGAAGCCACTGCTCTTCCTCTTCCGAGACTTAGTCTCAGCTTACAACAGATTTTAAGATAACTTATGACTAGTATGTTATGTCAATGAAGAAACAAAGATATTAATCATCACATAAAATTTGAAATTATTAAATCATAAAAAAAGTTTGCCTACACATGCCACTACTTCATCATAAGAGGAAAGAGTAAGAAAAACCACTCACTCAGTGTGGGGGAAGTTACATGGATTATTCATTGCAAATGACATTGAAATCACACAACTATATTGTAATAATTCAAAGCAAATACAATAAGTGTGCAAGACTTATCTTTATAGAAGATTCACACCCTCCTTACACTGCACATAGTAATCCCTTACACTTCTATCCAAGGTCTGAAGTCACTAATACTCCAAAAGACACTTCCTATACGAAGAGACACCAAGCCTCAATCTCTCTTCTCCCTTTGGGATTACACCAAACACACAGGCCCCTTCAAGAGACACCAACACACACAAACTAAGAGAGTCCAACACATGGAAATCTCTCTTTTTAATATAACCCTCGAAATCCCCAAAAGTCACTTCAGATGCTCCAAAATTCGTCCAAATACATTGTATTAAAAAAACAAATTCTGGCGCCTAGGCGTCAGCTTTCTAGAAACATGAAATAATTGTGTGCACCTAGGCGCCAATCCTGACGCCATGGCATCAGGCTCTCTGTTTTCACATACAGGGTTTGGTGCTTATGCGCCAGAAGATGGCTCATAGGCGCCAGTTCACTTTGTGCTCCTTTGCTTCATTTGACCCTATTTTTCTTCATTTTCACTCATCATTCTCCAAAACTCTATCTCTTGTACCTAAAATCAAAAACACGCAAAATACATTTCTTTAAAGTGTAATATCATTAAAAATGAGTATAAAATATATATAAAAAATAACACATTTTTAGGCGTGTCAGATAACCTGGTCAAGATGCTCATAGCTTTTAACGGTCCCAAAGCTATTGGTTTTGGATCTACTTAGTCAAGAGAGGTGGTTAGCCTACCTTAACCAAAAGATTATTGTCAGTAACCATGTGTTGCATCTTCCAAGAGAACTTCGTAGATCCAGAGGTTGGTTATTATTATTGTTCAAGTTGCACTCAATTATGTCTGTTCAGAGGTTTATTTTATGTTTTAATATCTTTCAAATTTTGTGGTTTGATGATTTTTTTTATCTTTATTGGACTTTTGTTTGATTCTAACTAGGATTGTCTTTAATTGGTTTGATTTTTATTTTATGACAAACAATCTAGATCTCATGATTACATCATTATAGAATCATTAGGGTTTGTGGTCGGCTTAGTCACAATTAACCATAGGAATCCTTGCTAGTTATCACGGGTTACCTCATCCAAGGATTTTTCAGCAGATCAGGGGTTAATTCAATTTAGTTTCAATTTAAATCTTAGTGAATTTTAGGGTTTACTTTAAGTTTTGATGACTTACATATTTTAGTTTCATCTTTTAATTGGGTTCTCATCCTTATAGCTTATCATATTGGTTCATTTATTATTTATTGAGTGTTATTTGAAGGAGAGTATTTTTATAACTTTGTTACTTTAGCTTAGCCCACTTTGTCTTGAGATTTAAGATTCTACTGAATCTTAACTTTGATGATACTTCTAAAGTTGGTTTGTGATTCATTTTGTTATGAAGATAAGTGTGTTTATGATCACTTGAAAGAAATCATAAGCGCTCCTTAACTCATACTTTAATCTTAGTGTTCAATTACTTAATTTATGTTTTAACTTGGTATGTTCTTAATTATGCTTAATTATTTAATTAATATTTTAAATTGTCTTAACCATTGATGTTTTGCATCTTTTTGTCTTAACCATTATATTACTAACATGAAAAATAAAATTAACCTAAATAGGAATGCTACAATATCACAACTCAAAGAAAAATAGGAATGTCATAATATCATCACCAATGTGCATCCAAACCACACTACACCTACACATCACCATTGTCACCACCTTCACACACAATCACCTCCACACACCAACACCTCCACACCAACACAACCATACACCCATCCACACCACACTACACCTACACATCATCATTGTCACCACCTTCACACAGAATCACCTCCACACACCAATGCATCCACACCAACACCTCCACACCAACACAACCATACACCAACACCTCCACACAAACACAACCACATACCAACCATCACATCCACAACACCACCACCTCCATGCATACATCAACACTTCCTCTAACACAAACATAATCGCACACCAACCACCACCTTTGCAACACCACTACCACCACACATTCACCAACACATCCTCTAACACAAACACAACCAAACACCAATCACCACCTCCACACATCCACTAACACATCCTCTAATACAAATACAACCACACACCAACTACCACCTCGACACAAAAAGCAACATACACCACTAGCTCCACATCCACAACATTGCTATCATCAAATAAATCGCTCTCTTTCAACATTTTTTCAAATTCTTTGGCAAACGTCAAAGGTAAAAATAAAACCACACTCCATATTTTTTATTTAATGCAATTCCATAAGGGCACCCAAAACATCACTATCAACAAATCAAACACCCCTTTTCAACCATTTTTCAAATTTTTTTTCAAGCATTAAAGGTAAAGATAAAACTCCTTCCCAATTTTATCATTTGATGTGGTTACATATAGGGCACCCAAAACATTGCTATCAACAAATCAAACACCATCTTTCAGCCATTTCTCAAATTCTCACTCAAACATCTAAGGTATAGATAAAACCACATTCCATATTTTTCATTTGAGGTTACCACATAGAGGGTACCAGAAACATTACTATCAACAAATCAAGCACCCCCTCTCACCCATTTTGTAAATTCACAATCAAATACCATAGGTAATGATAGAACCCCATTCCATATCATATTTAGCAAAAAAAATCGCAAAATCCAAATTCCAAATCATAAAAGAGAAAGCCAAAAATCACAAAATCCAAATTCTCACTTCAATTGCAAATGAGAAAGCCATAAATAGCAAAATCCAAATTCTCACTTCAAACCGCAAATGAGAAAGCCACAAATAGCAAAGAGAAAGTCATTTAATCGAAAAAAATAGGAGATACCGTGGGAGGACGGAGAGCGCAATAAACAGACAGAGCCGAAGATTGGAGGGAAGAGAGAGAGGAGAGAGGCAACCCCTTGCCACCAAAGATCGGAGGGAAGATGGAGAGGATAAAGGTAACTCGTTGTCATCGAAAGAGGCGCGAGAGAAAAGCGATCGAGAGGCATGACCTAGAGGAGAAAAAACGTGAGAGAGTGGGCAGTGGTAAGAGGGGAGCGGTGAGAGGGGCAAAAGAGTAATAGGTTCGCGAAGAAACGTAGGCCACAACCCATTTTTAACATACTTGTTAAGCAACGCTACTGTGCCTCAGTTTTCAAATACCTCATCCAGCATTTTTAGAATACACCGCACCAAATAAACTGCCACAAACGGGCTGTAAGTTGCATGAGCATAATAGGTAATTGCCGATTTGACGTTATTAAACCTACTCAAGCGAAATATAATCCTGGTCAAGGAAAATAATTTCTGACATTGTAATACCCAAAGACATGGAGCTAGATTTGTCAAAACTTGCTTCCATCAACGGCTTTTCACTAATACAAACTGAGCTGCGCATATAGTAAAATATACTTGAAAAAAAAAAAAGAGTTCATTTTATATTCTCAAGTATATTTTGAGTACACCTTGTGATCCTTGGTCATCTCTGCTTCAGTTCTTTTGCAGAAGCCTAAATTCAAACTCTGCAGTACAAAACTTGTATGAGGTATCAGACAAACCTCGGATCCCAATAAAAGTCAAGAATTATCCAACGATGCACACAACACCATTTTGGCTATTTTCCATTGAAAAATGCTTCCACATAGCTTTCTAATCATCATCTGTAGATAAAACCAACAGTTAATTTGGGTCAAACAATCATAGCAAGCTATTTTAAGTGGAAAATTCTTTCATAAAAGAGACAACAATGGTGCAAACCAGAATCTACACTTTAGGCACCATGCATAATTTTATAACCAACAAACTAATTTTATTCTTAAAGAGCAGGCCCAGCATCTGCAAACCAGAATGAAATCGTGTAATCTCATTCATTTGGCAAAGTCATGCATAACATTAATCCGACATACATTAGTGGAGTTCCATGCACTGGATACAATGTTTTTATGCATAATTTTTGCACTCTCCGCAAGCTTCAGATTCACTGGTGAGGGAAAGAAGGTTTGGTCTTTCCTTAAATTCCTTATCTTGTACATCTTTTGCTAACATATGCCGCACCAAAATAGTTGTAATTATAATAATGCTAATGTGGTTTCCTAAGTTACGTTTTTAGTTTGGAGAGAGAAAAGGATGAGTCTTCCCAACCAGTGGTTCCCATTGCATCAACACTACACTTCACATAAACCAGTAACTACGGTCTATTCGTCGAGAAATATTTGCGCACGTAATACGCAAGCAAAGCTGCGTGCGCAATAACCTTCGTTTCACGGTTATTAGGGGATTATTGGGAGGTTATTGAGGTATTAATTCTAATAACCTATAACCTTAATAACCTTCCAATAACCTTCACGAGTTCTATTTCGATGTTATTCATAGGTTATTGTGGGGGTATTGTGGGGTTAATGGAGCACACACGCAGAGTTGCGTGCGTATTACGTACGTAAATATTTCCCCTATTTGTCTAGCACGTGATTTACCTTGCACCTACTTACAAACCACTATTAAGAGCCTCGATACTAAAATCAAATCATTAGATGCAGAAGCATTGAGAAAAAATGGTTTCTAAGTGGTTTAAATGCATGCAACAAAAATTACTTGTAATTAAAATGTGGTCCTAGTCCAGAGATCTCAAATATTGAACTTAAAATTATGCTTAAATAAACTATTTTCATGACTTACTGACAGCAGGATCAACATGTACAAAGAAACTGGCAGCAACAATGAGATAGCACAAGATAAGCATCAGCCCCTTGAAGTAGTTAGCAGTGCCATCCTGGAGAAGAAAAAAGAAAACAAGGAAATTGATAGGTAATGTTAGAGCTTCACAACCTTTTCAAAAATAAAATATCCTATTATATTATAACCCTATGCTCGCATCGAGAACCATTATTATTAAAAGAGATTCTAAAGTCAAATAATTAGTCAATCACCAATAAATAAGTGAAAGATATGCATGCACTTCTATCCTAGAGGACAAAAAACCTCGACAATGTAGGTCAGATTGTTCCAGCTTGCTGGGGAAAATGTATGCTAGTTAAAAGATAAATAAAACTAAAAATCATATGAAATCTTAACTGGCGGTGCAAATTAACCAAAATGGTCTTCATGTTGATATCAACTCTTATCTACTTATGCATGCATACCTGAAGCATAAAAGCAACAACAAGAACTGTGATAAAGAGAGTTGCCGTCTCAAATAGCTGAAAATTCAAATCCATCCTCTCTCCCATCATCCAGCCAATGACCACACAGAATGGAATCTACAATTATCAGTCACAAAAGTCATCAGTATTTTCCTTTTTTTTTAATAGCAGTTTCAACCAGAAACTATGTTCAGTTCCCAAGTCATTCAGTATACTAGTTGACATAAAAAAAATCTGAAAAAACCTCCCTTCATCAAAAGAGAAATTTATAATGAGAACAGGCGCATGATGATAATTAACGAGGAAAGGGAACAAAAGGAGCTAAAAAGCCTGGTGTAGATTCTTCGCTTTCAGGGAGACATCTCTTGAATCTAGGCAATTAAAATAAATAGACTCAACAAAATCTCACAAGTAAAATCCATATTATAAAATTAAGCATGATTTTAAAAAAATTAAGGCAAAGCACTTGCAACATACAATTTATTTTTTATTGTGCTTTACATTATTTCCAATTAAAGTGATCAGTCATGCATATGAAATAAAAAAACTTCCATCCCACTCTCAAAATCACACAACTACAAATAGAGCGCATTGACGCCGAAAAAAAAAATGTTGTAGATCCTTGAGGAAAATAGATGTGTTTCTCTTTAACAAGAGACAGAAAATTCCCTTTAGCCAGCCGAATACGAAACAGAGGGATAAAGAGCCTCAAATAGCGCTCGCAACATATAATCATTTCTGATGCCCTCAACTTACGATATCTAGCAGCTTAGTGATGAGTTCAAGCCTATAGAACAGGTTAATTACTTAAAAACAAAATGGTGTAAAGTAAAAAAAAAAAAAATTACAAAATGGAGAAATGAAGAAATATTGTTGAAAGATTTCAGAGTGGAACCACCCCCCAAGCAGCAAAACACCACACTCCTTAATACCAAACACTGTAAAGTAAAGGAACACTGCAAATCCAAAAAGAAAAGGGTAAAAATAATTTTCAAAGTAATACCAAAAACATTGATATTTGTGTAGATGATCCAATGGCAACGCCTAATGAAATATCCTGTAAAAAAAGAAAAGTGTCATGAAAAATGAAACAGTATTTAATTAATAGCATAAATACACTCGAGCACTAACAAGTTTATCCTTCATGGCAAACATGATGGCACTTGCATGTTCAGCAGCATTTCCAACAATAGGAAGCAAAATGACACTGATAAAAGCCACAGGCATGTTCATAGCTTCAGAAGCACCCTGTTAGAGAAACTAAGGAACCTTTAGATTTATAAGAGAACAGTTTAAATTTATTGATGACCAGTCTAATAAGCATAAACAAATTACTCCAACTAGGAGGTGGAGGGACTCTATATTAAGCTTTTTGTGAATATATAATTTGAGAACCGAGTATGTAAGAAAAAAGCTTAAATGTACAATAACTGACAGATTAAGCAAAAAATATTCAAGTCCAAAGAAATTAGGGAGGATAAGCTGCTAAGGAGACATGCATTAAAGAATACATATGCTGAGCCCATCAGCCCTGCTTCATAATAGATTTTGATAATAAAACTACACTAAGATATTTGTTGTGTTAGTTTAATTGAGATGTTTAGAAAAACAAGTTTAAGCATTAAACCCCTTAGCCAAAATATGAGAACTAAGCTTTAGGATAGAAATATTTTTTACCTTGTCAATATATGAGTCACAAGAGAAGAATCTCGAAGATCACAAGCAAACATGCTAATATGAAAAATAATTTAAAAAATTATTACCTTTTACATTTAATTAAAATTTTTTTTCAAGCTAAATTACTTTTAAAATACAGTACATAAAATTATTTTCAAGCCAAAGTATTTTTAAAAAATACAGTATAAATTGCTTAAGAAAAAAAAGCTAAATTATATTTTCCAAATATAAGCCGTAAGTTTTCACACAAAAAAAAAAAAAAAAAAAAAAAAAAAAAAAAAAAAAAACTTAGTTTAAGGGGATCCATAAGCCTTCGTGAATCTCCACATAGTTAATGGGAGGACAAACTTTTGCGTAGGCATTATTGTTATGTTAAAAATGTTTTGATTGGACCCTTGGAGAAGATGAATATTATCAAATCTCAACTAACTTTGAACGGACCTCTGAAAGCCTTTTTGCATGTCTCCATTAAGTTTAACAGGTATCCACAATGTTAACTATAGAAAATATTTTAAGAAAATGGAATCTCAATGTTATGAGAGTAATTAGTGGTATTAATGGCAGCAATTTAAAGTATTGAATAGAAGGAAACTAAGGATTTTAAAATATTAATATATTTACTAATAAAATTTGAATCTACAATCAAGTAATATAAAGAAATGACTTATCAGATTAAGGGAGGCTAATGCAACAATTGTGAAACTCTAAAAGCATTATTTTTTAACCCTAGCCACCTATTTGTCTCTCAAAAAACCTAACTTTCTAAATCCTATGTGAGAGAAAAGTGAGGAAAGACAAAAGGCTTTCTAAGTCATTAAAGCCATCTTTGACATTTTGGTTATCTACGCTCAAATTCTTCACTCACTCATAAATCCATGTGTAAGATTGGTTAGCATTCATTAATCATTTTCAATTATAACAAACTTAGTTAACATCAATATTGCTTACAATATATCAGAAAACCTCCAAAAAACAATTCAATGCCCATTTTCTAATAATCAAACAAAATATGACTATATAAGTGTAAGTAAGCGGAGTTTCCAAAAGTTACATTGTGTCAATCAAACCTGGCTAGGTGAAAAAAGGAAGGTTAGGGCATACAAATGCCAATTCATGCAAAATGTAGATAAGACGTCAACTAAACAAAATAAAAGACACCAACCAAAAGAGATACGTGGCATGCATAAAGCTAGCAATATTTGGAATTTATTAATGGCTCACTAAAAAGCAAAGAATAAGACGATCAAAGGCTTCACTTGCGACCTCCTATCTCTATTGAAGATACTCGTCAAAGTCATTTCGCCATGTTAATGGATAAGATGTGAACAGACAATGCATTTCAAAGTTGTGCCTTGCTTGTGAAAGAAGAGAGAAGATGCTTTTGATGCATCAGCTCGCTCATGGAAGAAAGCGTGAGGGATGGCTAGGGCTTGTAGGCAAACAAGCAAGAGAGACTAATTCACCTGGGCATGAGTAACATAGTTTACTTTGACATTCCGCGCATTTCATGGCACATCCTTTCATGGCTTTGTGTGTTGAGCAACATCAAACACAAATTTTAGCCTAAATTACCTTGGAGACAATTCTAACAGTGTCGGATGCATGTACAACATGAAAAAAGAAGACATTTAGAAGTGTTTGTACTTCATAGGTAACACATATTAGCAGGGAGAGAGGGAGGGAGGACATGGGAGGGAAAAAAATGAAACAAAAGAGGTGCATAGTTCATATTTATACTTCCATATTAGAACACCTTTTAATGATTATCAAAAAGGTTAGACCCAAGCAAAATACAAAAAAAAAAAACAAGTTTAAATAGCCTTATTTTTAAAATTTTTTTTTTTTTAAGTTTAAATAGCCTTATTTTTTAAAATTTTTTGAAAGAATTTTTTTTTACTCTTTTTTTTTTAAATTTTTGTAAATACTTCATTGTGTTCCCCTGAAACACCCACAAATTAATCATCCTTATTTTGAAGGCATTCAAGAACTGGAATGGCTTCGGCAAAAAAATGTAAAAGACCAAAGCATACTATATCATTTAGGTAAAGTTTGGTTGAAAGATTCTTCAGATGGAATTATAATGGTATATGGCCACTAAAATGTTCATAGTTCATACAATAACAACAACAACAAACCTTCGTCCGACTAAGTGGGGTCGGCGACATGAATCCTTTTTCTCCATTGTGTCCTATTGAGTGCCATATTTTCATTTAATTCTAAAAAATTAAGTTCATTTGTATACAACATGCCCAAGTCTTTCTAGGTCTACCTCTTTCTTTCTTAACATAAGTTGAATATAAAACATCTACTCTCCTAAGCAGATTATCAGATGGTCGACGTTTAATGTGACCAAACCATCTAAGACAACACTCTCTAAATTTGTTCGCCACTGGAGCTACACCAATCCTATCACGAATATATTCATTTCGCATTTTCTATCTAAGTGCAAAGTCACTCATCCAACTAAGCATTCTCATCTCAGCAACACTTAACTTAATTTTATGCTTCTCTTTTGAAGGCCAACATTCAGTGCGATAGAGCTTTACAGGTCTCACCACTATCTTATAAAATTTTCCTTCCAGTCTAAGCAATACTTTTCTATCACACAATAGGCTTGAAGCATTCCTCCACTTCAACCAACCAACTTGAATTATACTAATAACATCCCCATCTATATCACCATCACTTTGAACAATAGACCCGAGATATCTAAAGTGTTCACACCTTTTAATAATTTGATGACCCATAGTTACAACTCTGTCTCTAGAGTTACAACAACAACAACAACAACAACAAAGCCTTAATCCCACTACATGGAGTCGGCTACATAAATCCTTTTTCTTCATTGCGTCCTATTTAGTGTCATATTTTCATTTAGTTCTAATAAATTAAGATTATTTTTTATACAAGAAGCCCAAGTCTTTTTAGGTCTACCTCTGCCTTTCTTAACATAAGTCGAATCTAAAACATCTACTCTCCTAATTGGATCATCAGATGGTCGACGC